GCAGTGCAGCTTCTTACCACTAGGCCACCAGAGCTCGCCTATTTGCTAATATTCTGTGAAAGATTTTTCTGCCAGTATTTATGAGCGAGTGGTCTGTCAGAGTTTTCTTTGCATAAATAAAAAATCAACTGTTGTCAAGTTGCTTCCAACTTACAGAGATCCTCTATTGTTTTCAAGACTGTAATTCTTAATGAGAGCCTTTTCCTTCTCAGCATATCAGCTGATGGATTCAAACCACTGGCCTTTTGATTAGCAGCCTAACACATAACACACTACACCACCAAGGCTCCTTAGGGTGCTACAAAACCTGAAACCAAACTCACTGCTGTGGGGTTGATTTCAACTGATGATGCCTATCCAATGTTTGCTTTTGCTGAAGCAGTAGATCTTTTATAGGAGAAGATTGCCATGCTTTCTCTTGTGGAGCTGGGGTATTTGAACCATCAACCTTTCAGTTGGCAACTCAATACTTAATATATTACCAGGGCTCCTATTGTCATACTAGCATGTGTTTCTCTCAGTATTAATTATTCTTAAAGCATTTGGTAAAATTCTCCAGTGCAACCTTCTGGGGCTGGAGATTACTTTTTTGTGAATTCTGAAATTGTGTATTCACATTTCTTAATCATTCTAGGGCTATTCAAATGATCTGTTTCATTTGTGGTGGTTTGAGTTGAAGGAAGTGGTCCATTTCAACTAAGCTGTCAATTTATGTGTATGATGGTGTTTCTAGGATTCACCTATTTTGATGTGTTCAGTATCAATAATAATATGCAGTTCCTTTAATATATTGATAATTTGTGGCTTCTTTGCCAAGTTGGTTGATCTTCTTGAAGAACATACTCTTTGTTTCATTGATTTTCTCTATTTTTATTCTTTTAGTTTCATTGGTTTCCTTTGTTGGCCTTCTTTGTGCTTGCATACAGTTTATTTTGGTCTTTTTCTTGTTTCTTCAGGTAGGTGCTTAGATGATTGAGACTTTTTCTCTAGTTGAATGTACACATTTAATACTATAAATTTTCCTCAGCAGTCCTTTAGCTGTGTCCCTCAAGTTTGTATATGTTATGTTTTCATTTAGTTCATTGTGTTTTTAGAAATTACCTTTGGGCTATTTGTTGTTGTTTTGTACCATTGAATTGAAACTGACTCAAAATGACTCTCCAGTGGGTTTTCAGAGATAATTACATGAGAGGAGATTTCCAGTCTTCTTCTCGAGGAGAAGTTGGTGGTTTTGAACCTCCTTCCTTTGGGTTGGCAGCATAATTCCTTACCACTAAGTCACCAGAGCTGCCTTTTTGTACTACGTGGTGGTGTTGTTAAGTGCTGTCGAGTCTAGTATGACTCATAGCTACCCTATGAACAACAGCTCTGAACCCTATTTTTTCCTGTGCTGCCGTCATCAATTCTGACATACTTGAGTGCATGGCTGCAGTCACTGTGTCAGTCAGTTTGTTGAAGGTCATCTTCTCCTTCGCTGACCCCCATCTTTCCATGCATGATCCCCCTTTCCAAGGATTAGCCTCTCCTAGCAACATGTCCAAATTATGAGAGATAAAGTGTTGCCATCTTTGCCTCCAAGAAACTCTCTGACTACACTTTCCCCAAGACATGTTTTTTTCTTTTGGCGTTCCATGGGCTATTCAGTGCTCTTCTCTAGCACCACAGCTCAAAGGCATCCATTTTCCTTCTGCCATCCTTATGTATATTATTCTGGTTCCTTTTGGTCTCCGTGGTTCCTGGTGAGGAATTTACTCTTTCAAATTATTTCCCCCTTCTTTTTGCTTTCAAGGTTTTTGGTTTGTCTTACTTTTCATAAATCTAAGCATCATGTGTCTTAGCATGAACTTTTTTTGTTTATTCTGTTTAAGGTTTACTCTGCTTCTTAAGTCTGCTGACGTATGTCTCTTAATATTGAGAAAATGTTCAACTCTTATCTCTTCAAGCACTTATCCAGTCCATCATCCTCTCTTTATTCCGGGATTCCTGTGGCAAGGATGTGGGGGCCTTTGTAATAGCTCCAGGGCTCCCTGAAGCTCTGCTAGGTGGTTCCCCCCCACCCCCGTAGTCTTCTGTCCCTTTTTTGTTCACACTGGGGAGTTTCCACTGATCATTCTTCAAGCTTGATGATTCTATCCTATCTCATGTCTATACGCACTAGACTCAGGGTAGAAGAGTTTTTAGGAAGAGAAGCAAGGCAGGCCAGTGCCATAAACTAGAAAAGTACTGGTGGAAGTGGTGAGCCAGAATCTGAGAATGTTTTGAAGGTAGAAACAAGCTTTGGTGAGAATTGGGTATGGCTGGAGAGAAATAGAAAATTAGTATGGTTCCAACCATTTTGGCTTCTGTAATTAAACAAATGGAGTTGTTGTAAACTAAGATGGATGAGATTTTAGGAAAAGCAAGTTTGGGAGAAATACCATAGGTTAGAATTGGACATATTCAATTAGAGACATTGAACGTGTCTTATATAGAGTTCCTGTGTACTCTCTTCTTGAAGCGACAGTTTGAGATACTAATTAACAAGAAGCTGTGCTGCAGTCCTGAAGGCATGCAGTTCAAACAAACCAGCTGCTCCTCGGGAGAAAGATGGGCAGACTCCTTCTGTGTGATTTACTAAATACCCGCTGGAGAGTCAACTGTCCGTCCTTTCTGACCTGATAGTACATAACAAAGACGACAACACAGCAGTCAGGAATTCAGAAGAGAGGCGTAGACATTGAGAAAAAATTGGATATCATGAGCATATAATTGTTATTGAAAGATTGAGAATAGGTGAAAACAGCAAAGGAGCCTATGCTCTATCAATCAAAGATCTATGAGAAAAGATGAAAGAAGAATTGAACTGTGATACTAAGATGAGAGAGAGAGTCCTCAACAAAGAGCAGGAGGAGTCCAGAGCGAAGGCTGCATAGTGAAGTGGACCTGGGGGAGGGTTTATAAAACAATGAAAGAATTTTTCTTTTACTTTTCCAAGAGGGTAGTGTACTAGGGGGGAGGGTTGGGAGGGGAGAAAAGTGCAACAATGAATGAATGAAAACCCAAAGTCTCTGTAAATTTTCATTGAAATTAATAATAAATTTTTTAAA